GCTCAAGTCAGAGAGTTAGCAGCAGTACGTGTTCAATGGGCTGTAGTTCCAATGATTTGAAAGGAACCGACTGAATACAATGAATGCGCAGTACGATCAGCAAACATGCATTTTTATATTCAGAGTGACTGGGAGATGTTAGATTAGTTTCAGTCTCATCATTGCACTCAATTTATTGGAGGGAGGCAATGGGCTAGTGGTATTATCGCTGTACTGTTAATCCAGAGACCCAGATAATGTTCTGGGGACCCAGGTTTGAATCCCGCCATGGCAGATGGTGGAATTTGGATTCAATAAATATATGGAATTAAGAGTCTAATGATGACTCTGAATCCATTGTCAATTGTCAGGGGGAAAAAAAACCCATCTGGTTCACTAATGTCCTTTAGGCAACTGCCATCCTTACCTGTTCTGGCCTACATGTGACTCCAGACCCACAGCAATGTGGTTGACTTTGAACTGCCCTCTGGGCAATTAGGGATGGGCAATAAATGCTGCCTGGTCAGTGATGTCCCTCATCCTATTAATGAATAAAGGAAAAAAAAAAGTTCCATCTTTGCAAAGAGTAATATGCGAATCCAGATTGTATGTACTCTGCAGTTTGAATGTTGTCAGTTCATAATTGCTGCAGGTGGAATTGAGAGCTCTGGTAACAATGGTTTCAGGCAGAACAGATACAGGTGATTACAGCTTTCCTATCGTCCACCTACCAGCATCTCCAGCCCATGTTACAAACCAGGGCTTCCCTTTTATTTAGTAGCTCCCCATTTCACCTAGCTTGTCAGCAGTGGAAAGGAAAGGGACTTGCATCGACTTCGTCCCTTTCAAATCCCCAGAACATCCCAAAGCTCTTTGTAGCTGGTGACTTATTTTCAAGGGATGGTCACTGTGTAACGTAGGAAACACAGCAACTAGCTTGGGCATAGCACAAGTTCACAAGCGGCAATGACAAACACCAGATAATCTAATTTATTTAGTACCAGTTGTAGACCACAGCACCAGGGAGATCTTGCCTGCGCTACTTTGAATAACTCCATGAGATTGTTTTTATCCATTAGACAGGGCAGATGGATTTGAAGAAGAGTCACATTGGACTCAAAATGTTACCTGTTTCTCTCTCCACATCTGCTGTCAGATCTGCTGAGTTTCACCACCACTTTCTATTTTTATTTCAGATTGCCAGCATTCACTGTATTTTGCTTTCATTAGGGCAAATCGGTCTTCAGTTTAATGCCTTGTTCAAAGAACAACAGGTCTCAGAGCACAGCCCTCCCTCGGCACTGGCCCTCAACAGCATAGTTCTTAGTGCTGCCTCTCCAGTCAAATAGCCCTTTCACGGTGCTGCCCTTCCAACCCTGCAAAGGTGTGACAATATCCTGGGACTACCAACCTAACGGCACCTTTACCACAAGGACTGCAGCAGTTCAAAAACCAAGACTCTGCATCAGCACCTTCACCAGGGGCAATTTGAGGGCAATAATTAGGGCCTGGTCATTATGCAGAAGAACACTGTAATCACAGAATTGCAATCATCTCCTGGGCAGTGAACTCAGATTGACTGTATGAGTTGCTGCACTGTGATATTCCCAAAATAGATGCAACTTACCGTTGATTATCACTGGCTGCACAGTTTACCTTTCTGCAACTACACCGGCTCCATTAAATAAACAGAGGAAACAAACACTAAATATGGGCAAACAAAATTCCAATGTGTGTTGTGAAAGGACACGTATGTTTGTGTACACAAGTCAATCCATCCTCGTTACACAGTAACTGCAGTGAACCCTTCAGACCCTTCAGTGAATACAGTCAGTTACATCAGTCCTCCCAGTAAACTCCTCTCTCAGCACCAATCAGAATTCTCAATTGGAATGTAGCAAAGGAGGTAGCCATTTAGACCAAGAGACTGGGCCAACATTTATTGCCCATCCTTAGTTGCCCTTGAGAAGGTGGTGGCGAGCTGACTTTTAAACCACGTGCTGTAGGTTGACAGACAATGCTGTTAAGGATGGAATTCCAGCATCCTGACCCAGCGACAGTGAAAGAACATTGACAGGTTTCCAGGTCAAGATCTCTGTTCCCCCTAAATTTGTTTCCTTCTGCTTGGACCTCTGAGGCTGCAAGTCAATGTTGGGAATGACATTGGCACATCGATCGCAATGTGTGGACCCTTGACATGTCTGCACAGAGAGAACATTGGTCAGGATTTTGAATGGTTCAGAGGGGAACTTGCAGGTGGTGGTGTTCCCATGTATCTGCTGTCTCAGGAGCCTTGGCAAATTACTACAATGCATTTTGTAGTACAGTGCTGCTACTGAGCATTGGTAGAGGGACTTGATGAATGTTTGAAAGTCTTCTGTTCTGTTTTTTTTCGATCTAGAGAGACTGGCCTCACAGTTGCCTACACTGGGAACCACATGTCATAGTTTAGTCCATTCACTTAACATATCGATATCATTTGCAGTTCTGTTTTCATCTATGCAGACTACAATGTCACTTAGCCACACCTCTTTGACAAATCTGGATATATGGCTTTCTGCCCCCTCATCCGAGACATTAATAAATGCTGTGAATAACTGACACACATCAATGCAGAGCATCATGCATCACTTCCTATCGATGGGAGGACCTGCCGATTAGCCCCACTCCCTCCTTCCTGTCACAAAGTACATGTTCGAGCCAGGGTTTGAATATTACATATATGAAATCAGCAGCCCACCCACCACAAGTAAATGAATAATGAAGGGTTAATTGAGCTTGTTAAAAGCTGAATTGACCCCAACATTTGTCATAGCCTGACCAGACAAATCTCTCATTACACAGTGACAACTGGTGATGATTTAAGCGTCACCACACCTCACCATAGCCAGTGTCAGAAATTGAACTCATGCTGTTGGCATCTCTCTGCATTGCAAGCTAGCCATCCAGCCAACTGAGCTAACTGGCCCGCTTAATATTATGCCGTCCACACAACAATACAGTTTGTCTGCAGTAGTTATTGTGTGGTGTGATGCAACACTATAGTCTTGGGTTCATGACAGATTCGTCAAGGAGATCTGTCCAATTTCTAAGAAGTAAAAGCCTCTATAGCAGCTCAAGGTGAAACCAATATGTTCTTTTGAAACCGTGATTGAAAGAACATCTCAAGATGTTATTTTCTGAGAAGGCTGACTCTATGACATCAGTGCACGATTAGTGATTTGATCATATCATAAGATGTGGAAGCAGAAGTAGGCCATTCAGCCCATCAATTCTGCTCCTCAATTCAATGAGATCATGGATGATCTGATAATCCTCAACCCTATTTTCCTACCTTTTCCCAAATCTCTAGATTCCCTTTCTGGTTAAAAATCTGTCTCAGGCATAGATTCACTACTCTCAGGGAAGAAATTCCTCCTAATCTCTTCCTAACTGGGTGATCTCTTACTCTGAAATTATGATCTCTGGTCCTAGGCTCTCCTATAAGGAAAAATAACACATCAACCCTAACAATCTTATATGTTTCAATAAGGTCAGCTCCCATTTGTCTAAACTCCAATGAGTCCAGGCCCAACCTACTCAATCACTCCTCTTAAGAAAATCCCCCCCACCTGGAATCAATCTAGTGAACTCTGGACTGCTGTCAATTTCAGTTTAACTTACCTTTAGATAAGGGAACCAAAACTATTCATTGTATTCCAGCTGTGGTCTGCCTTGTGTAGTTATAACTAAACCTCCCCACTCTTATACTTCATTCCCTTTGAAATAAAACCCAACATTCTGTTTGCCTTCCCTATTTCCTGCTGAACTTGGATGCTAGTTTTTTGTGATTTATGCATAAGGATTTCCCAATTCCTCTGTACTTTAGCTTTCTGCAATCTTTCTCCTTTGACATAATATTCAGCTCCTATAGGTAGAAGTAAAGTCGACATAGATCAAAGCTCTATGGTCTTCTGGAACTCATTTAGAGACAGACAAGAGGTGAATTTGAGAAGGCAGGACCTTCACAGTAGCCTTAACTGGTGTGGGAATTGAATCCATTTGTTGGCGTTACTCTGCATTGCAAACTAGCCATCCAACCAACTTGGCTAACCAACCCCAAATTCTCTATTCTTCTTGACAAAGTACATAACCTCATTTTCCCACCACATTATATTCTACTGCCAAGTTTTCAGTCATGTGCTTAATCTGTTTATATCCCTCTGCAGACTGTGTCATCTTCACTAATTGCCTTCCCACCTATTTTTGTTATCTGCAAACCTGGCTGTAGTCCATTGATTTTCACCATCCAAGTCATTAATATATATTTCAAACAATTATGGCTCCAGCTCTGATCCTCACAGACACAGCACTAGATATAGGCTGCAATCCTGAAAAGGTTTCCCCTTATCTCAACTCTGTTGTCTATTAGTTCACCAATCTTCCATGGGTGCTGACATACTACCTAAAACACCCTAGGCTCTTACCTTATTGAGGAGCTTGATGTGCAAGGCCTTATCAAATGCTTTCAGAAACCCAAATAAATTGCATTGATTGCTTACCCGTTATCTATCTTGCTTGTTACCTGCACAAAGAATTCTTATAACTTTGTCAGGCTTGGTTTTCCCTTCATGAAGCCGTGCTGGCTCTCTTTTATTGTATTATGAATTCCAAATGCTCCGCTATTACTTCTTTTATAATAGTCTCTAGCATTTTCCCAATAACAGATGTTAAGTAACTTGTGGATAGTTTTTGTCTCCTTCCCTTTTTAAATAACAATGTTCCTTGGCAGTTTTCCAATCCTCTGGGACTTCTGCAGAATGTAAAGATTCTTTCATGATTACTACCAGTATATACACTATCTCTGCAGCCACTTCCTACGATAGTACGCCATCAAGCATATTTAACCAATTGTGGCAACATTGTTGAATAAGTTTTGTTTGATAATGAACCAATAATACTGTATACTAAGTAACCTGGTTGATGGATCTTTTTGTGTTAAACAATCTAATATAGATAAGCTTTTTAATTGGCATCTTGGAAACTGGAAGAAGTATTTTTATTGTATCTTGTGACCATAGAGTAGTGGAGCACTGGTGCACTCCTCCAGCCATGGCTGTATCAAGATTCAAGTGTCTGTGAAAGGCAGTGATGCAACGCCCTCTCCCAGCACATCCTCTGCATGGAAGATGGCTTAAAACAGGTGCTAGTGGAGAGATCCAGTGTCTGCAGGAAGAATGAGAAGATGCTTTTATTGAACATTATTGCTGCTTTCTCTCTCCCAAGCAGCAGCAAATATTCCTTGTTAAGTTCCAATGTCACTCAGTTTGTTGTTAGGTCTTCTGTACTTGTCGCACATCAATGACATCAGCACCACCATCTTTCTGCACCATTGTAGTGGCAAAGATACTTCAATGAACAATTGCTCACTCAGCATACTGCTCCCAATCATTATCATTTATAGCTTATAACTGATGAACAGACAACTCCCACTGAGACGTCTTTTTGAACTGTTTCCATGGGATATGGGTGTCACTTTAACACCACCATGTGTTGCCCATCCCTAATGGCTCTTGAAATAAGTGGCTATTTCAGACAGCAGTTAAGAGTCAACCTTATTACTGTGGATCTGGAGTCACATGTAGGTCAAGTTAAGGATGACAGATTTTGTTGTGAAAGGCCTTTAAGACTCTGGGATGATCTGATAATGTTGTCACAGAACTGTTCCCCACAGAGCATAAATAGCAGCGTGTGGGCGGAGCTGAACATGAGAAGATGGATGTGTGTGAAGAAGCACAGTAGAGAACAGTCTGAAGAATTAACAGTGGGATTAGAGCCTGGTATGTCTCAGATTACCATCTACACTAACACTAATATTAATATTAATATAAAATCACAGCTCAAAAGAAACCCAAGGTTGAAGACAGTTTTTGAACTTGCTTCCTTCTTGAACAGTCCTCTTCAACCCAAACTCTCAGATGTGGAACAAAACCACATGCTAAATTAGATTTCTTTCCTAAAGAGTGTGGGATGTTTTACAACCATCAATACTTGTGATTGACATCATGTAGACGAGCTTTCAATTACAGATGCATTAACTGAATTTAAATTACACAGCTACCCTGATGGAAATCAATTGTCTTAAAACATTAGACTGGGTCTCTGGATTTTGTGACATGCCCATTAATCTCCTCTGTTGACCAGATAACTAGTTTCCATTATAAACAAAAGAAAATACTTGAAATACTCAATAGGTAAGCAGTCGAGTCATAGAGTTCTATAGCACGGAAACAAACCCTTCAGTCTAACTCATCCATGTGGACCAGATATCCTAAATTAATCTAGTCCCATTTGCCACCATTTGGCCCATATTCCTCTAAACCCTTCCTATTCATATACCCATCCAGATGCCTTTTAAATGTTGTAATTGTACCAGCCTCCACCACTTCCTCTGCAGCTCATTCCAGACATACGTGAAAAAGTTGCCCATTAGGTTGCTTTTAAATCTTTTTCCTCTCACCTTAAACCTATGCCCTCCACTTGTGGACTCCCCCACCTCAGGGAAATAACCTTGACTATTTACCCTATCCATGCCCATCATGATATTATAAAACCTCTACAAGGTCAACCCTCAGTCTCTGATGCTCCAGGGAAAATAGCCCCAGCCTATTCAGCCTCTCGCTATAGCTCAAACCCTCCAGTCCTGGCAACATCCTGGTAAATTTTTTCTGAACCCTTTCAAGTTTCACAACATCCTTCCTATAGCAGGGAGACCAGAACGGCACACAGTATTCCAAAAGTGGCTTAACCAATCTCCTGTTCAGCCACGACATGACCTCCCAACTCCGATACTCAATGCACTGACCGAAGAAGGCAAGCGTACCAAAAGCCTTTTTCACTACCCTGTCTACCTGTGACTCCACTTTCAAAGAACTATGAACTTGCACTTCAAGGTCTCTTTGTTTAGCAACACTCTCCACGACTTTACCATTATGTGTATAAGTCTTGCCCTGATTTGCCTTTCCAAAATGAGGCAACTCGCATTTATCTAAATTAAACTCCATCTAACACTCCTTGGCTTATTGGCACATCTGATCAAAGTCTCGTTGTACTCTGAGGTAACTTTCTTCACTGTCCACTACATCTCCAATTTTGGTGTCATCTGCAAACTTGCTAACCATACCTCCTATGTTCACATCCAAATCATTTATATAATTAATAAAAAGCAGTTGATTCAGCATTGATCCATGTGGCACATCGCTGGTCAGAGGCCTCCAGTCTGAAAAACAACCCTCCACCACCACCCTCTGTCTTCTACTTTTGAGCCAGTTCTGTATCCAAATGGCGAGTTCCCCCTGAAATCCATGTGATCTAACCTTGCTAAACAGTCTACCATGAGGAACCTTGTCCATATAGATCACATCCACCGCTCTGCCCTCATCAATTCTCTTCATCACTTCTTCAAAAAAACTCAAGTTAGTGAGACACGATTTCTGACACACAAAGCCATGTTGACTATCCTTAATCAGTCCTTGCCTTTCCAAATACATGTAAATCCTGTCCCTGAGGATTCCCTCCAACAACTTGCCCACCATCAATTTCAGGCTCACTGGTCTATAGTTCCCTGGCTTTTCCTTAAATAGTGGCACCGCATTAGCCAACCTCCAGTCTTCCGGCATCTCACCTGTGGCTATCAACAAGACAAGTATCTCAGCAAGGGGCCCAGCAATCACTTCCCTAGCTTCCCACAGAGTTATAGGGTACGCCTGATCAGGTTCCAGGGACTTATCCACCTTTATCCATTTTAAGGTGCCCAGCCCCTCCACCTCTGTAATATTGACATTTTTCAAAATGTCGCTATTTATTTCCCCATGTTCTGTATCTTTCATATCCTTCTCCAAAATAAACACTGATGCAAAATACTTGTTTAGCATCTCCCCCATCTCCTGCAGTTCCACACATAGGTGGCCTTGTTGATCTTTAAGGGGCCCTATTCTCTCCCTAGTTACCCTTTTGTCCTTAATGTGTTTGTAGAATCTCTTTGGATTCTCCTTAACCCAATTTGCCAAAGCTATCTCATGTCCCGTTTTTGTCCTCCTGATTTTCCTCTTAAGTATACTCCTACTGCCTTCATATTCTTCTAGGGATTCACTCAATCTGTGCTGTCCATACCTGACATATGCTTCTTTTTTATCCTTAACCAAAACTTCAATTTCTCACTTGCCCTAGTCATCCAGCATTCTCTACATCTACCAGCCTTGCTCTTCACCCTAACAGGAACATAATGTCTCTGGACTCTTATTATCTTTGTTGGGATGGCCCAGTGGTTAGCACTACTGCCTCACAGTGCTAGGGACCTGGGATCAATTCCACCCTCAGGTGACTGTGTGGAGTTTGCACATTCTCCCTGTGCCTGTGCGGGTTTCTGCCGGGTGCTCCAGTTATTCCCACAGTCCAAAGCTGTGCAGGCTCAGTGAATTGGCCGTGCTGAATTGCCCATCATGTTCAGGGATGTGTAGGTTAGGGTTGTCAGCCATGGGAAGTGCAGGGTTACAGGGAAAGGGTAGGGGTAGGGGGATGGGTCTGGGCAGGATACTGTTCAGAGGGTCGGTGTGGACTTGTTGGGCCAAATGGCCTATAGGGATTCTATGGTCTCATTTTTGAAGGCATCCCATTTTCCAGCCATCCATTTCCTGGCGAATATCCGTGCCCAATCAACTTTTGAAAGTTCTTCCCTAATACCATCATAATTGGCCTTCCTCCAATTGAGAACTTTAACTTTTAGATCCACCTGCAGTGAGAGAAACAAAGTAAAGTTTCTCTTCAATCTTCTAGCTCAAGAGGCTGCCTAATCTGTTGTGTACTTGCAGCACTTTCTGCTTCAAACTTCCAACACCCACAGGCTTTTGTTACATTTTTGCAGCTTTATTCGCATTTTTAAAGCTGCAGATCAAAGTTCCCAAAAGTCAAATAAAACCCAAAAGAACTGCGGATACTGTAAATTAGGAACAACAATAGAAGTTGAGACAACAAGGTGCAGGGCTGGATGAACACAGCAGGCCAAGCAGCATCTTAGCAGCAGTAAGGCTGACGTTTCGGGCCTAGACCTTTCATCAGAATTGGGATCTGGAGGGAGGAGGGTAACTTCTTCAGGGTAGGCATCCTTAGAAGAGGCTTCGCAGTGGGCTTAAAATTGTATCAGAGATAGTAGGAACTGCAGACGCTGGAAAATCTGAGACAACAAGGTGCAGAGCTGGATGAACACAGCAGGCCAAGCAGCATCATAGGAGCAGTAAGGCTGATGTTTCGGGCCTAGACCCTTCATCAGAAATGGGGTTAAAATTGTATCAGAGATAGTAGGAACTGCAGATGCTGGAAAGCTCTGAGGAAGGGTCCCCGGACCCGAAACGTTAACTCTTATTTTTCCTTCACAGATGCTGCCAGACCTGCTGAGCTTTTGCAGCAACTTCTGTTTCTGTTCCCAAGTGTCAAACTGAATTTCAGCCTCAGATATACTTACCAGAATCCCACTTGCATCAAACTTTTTGCGGATCCTGCAGTCTTTTATCAAACACTGGCGTGGGATCTTTTAAAATGGAACAAATAAAATATAAATACAAATTAAAATTGCTGGAAATCCCTGAAAGTTTATAAGAATCTGCAGCAGGAACGTTATGGAATAATTTCATTTTCATCATAAAAAAATCTCCCTTTTGCAATATTCTCTCTCTGGATAAATTTATAACTTAAAACTGGACAAGAATGGAACATGTAATCATGAGTTTCCAAAGCTATCATTCGCTCGTCGCCCTTTCACATGCACACTTTCCTTCTCATTCTCTCCCTCTCCTCCTTCTCATTCTGTTTCTCATTCTCCCCCTCTCCTCCTTTTCATTCTCTCCCTCTCCTCCTTCTCATTCTGTTTCTCATTCTCTCCCTCTCCTCATTGTTTCTCATTCTCTCCCTCTCCTCCTTCTCATCCTGTTTCTCATTTTCTCTCTCTCCTCCTTCTCATTCTCTTTCTCATTCTCTTTCTCTCTCTCACCCTGTCTGCTCTCCCTCTCCTTTCCCGTTCTCTTTCTCATTCTCTCCCTCTCTTCCTTCTCATTCTCTTTCTCTCTCTCACCCTGTCTGCTCTTCCTCTCCTTCCTGTTCTCTTTCTCATTCTCTCCCTTTCTACCCTCACTCTCAGCCTCTTTGCCTCACCCTGTCTCTGTCTCTCCCCACCCAAACCCCCCCCTCCCCCCCCCCCCCCCCTCTCTATTCTGGGTCCAGTCAATCGGAGTTTACTCGGAGCACCGAGGGTCTTCCCCGGGACATGAGGGGTGAAGCTGCTTCTGTTCCCCGGGACTCCCGGTGCTCGGTGCTGGGACGGACCCACACACCCCTCCCCGGATCCCGGTGCTGGGATCTCACCCCCCACCCCCGGTGCTGGGATCTCACCCCCCACCCCCGGTGTTGGGATCTCAGCTCCCCCACCCCCGGTGTTGGGATCTCAGCTCCCCGCCCCCCTGGATTCCTGCGTTGGCAGCCCGCTCCCTACCTCCCACCGCGGTTCCCGGCGCTGGGATCTCCCCCCGGTTCCTGGGAGAAGTTACGGCTCTGACCTGCTCCGGGCTCCGGCCGCTACTTTATTCCTTTCACTTCTCCCCGGCGGAAATGGGAAGGAAAAGGGGGCGGGAGCCGGAGCAAGATCCGCTCCTGGAACAGGGACTCGATCCCATCAAAATCCGGTGAACGGGGCTCGATCCCATCAAACAACATTGAGTGGGGTCGGTCTCATTAAACACCAGCTCGCCTGCACCCGATCCTAACAGAGCCCACTGACTGACCAACACCCATCAAATCCCACCAGACACAGGAGTCAATCCCATCAAATCCCAGTGACTGGACCCGATCCTAGTTAAAATCCCAGTACCAGGACCCCATCCCAGCAAAAAAACACAGTACCAGGACCCGATCCCAGTAAAACAAACACTGTA